TCAGGCTTGGAAAATGTATTTCTTTACATAACTACTTTCCACATATTTAGAGAGCTGATGAGATTTGCTCATCAAGAAGGAAGCACGTGTCAAACTACCTTTTCTGCTCGTAGAGAAGTTAATTCATTGTCTTGCCATCTGTTAACTTATTCTGAGCTCGAAATCCCTCTTATGTACTTGATATGGATATATCTATAACTGGAAAATCTGATTTTTTCCATGAGAAACTTCAAATAGGCACTTCTGACAATGCAAGTGCAATGGTGTACTGCTCTGATTCTAACTCTCTGTATGTTAGAGGAACTGGGAAAGGGAGCAAATAGGAAAAAAAACCAGCAAGGGCCTGGACCTGCAGTCAGACATAGAACCTGATCCTGAGAAAATAACATAGGAGGGCGGATAGAATCCTGGTGAGCAGGTTGTTTGCATAGGAGCAGGTGATGCCTCACCTGTTACTTGATGCCTGCTTTGTTCAGGGAAACTACATTTGGTTAATAAGGAGGATTAGGATTTATAAGGAGGTTTTAATTATGCAGTTAAAAGAAGAAATTCATTTCTCAAAATTAGGAACAACTATTGTACTCTACTGGTGTACTGCACTGCAAACTACTGGTATATAACACAATGAGGACCAGCAGTAGGAGCTGAGCAGTATGGAGCTGTAGTGCAATCTCCATAGCATGAGATGACTTCACTTTTGCTCTCTCAGATCTCATTTAGGAGAACAGAATGGCCATAGGGATGCTAAGAAATACAGCTGCTCCCCTCTCCATGCAAATCCTGCTTGTTGCATTAGAAAGCAAGAAATGAAATTGGGAAGCCAGCTGCCTGGAGTCGCTGTGCTGCTGAGCCAGCATGCAGCTGAACCGGTGTGCTGCTGTGGTTTGACATGTGCTCACGTGCAGAGTGTCAGCCAGGATCAGTCAGGGCGTGTGTCCTACCACGATGGTCACCTTATGAATCCTTGGACAGCAAGCTGTCCAAACCCATGGAAAAGGAGCATCAGCCTTTGGTCCGTGGTTGTTGTTAATGGCTAGAAATGTTCAATTTAGCAAAATGAGGTAAGTGTAAAGTTGCTATGTGGTGGAAAGCTTCCAAGTCTGATCCTGCCGAGTGCCCCTGCTGCTCTTCGGCCCGAGCCCAGGCCCTGGTGGCAAAATCTACCCTGCAGCAAATATTTACTGTGACGTTGTAGCCCCTCAGGGCAGAAAAGGGTTTATGATGGAAATGATGATGGAACATTAAGTGCAGTGGTGCTTGTGAGTAGCACAGCTATAACAACAACCCCAAACCAGTAAATAGGAAAAAGGCCTTTTCTGTCCAGATGGCGAGGCAGGCAATGCAGCCCTACCGTAAGCAACACCAGAGACTTTCCAAATCCTACTCCAAATCTTTTAATCCCTTCAGTCCTTAACGGTTCAAAATTACATCATCATTTCCTCCATTTCGGATGGAGGTTTGCCCCTCCTGGTTCATGGCTGCAGTCTAATAGCGCTCATACTTATTAATCTTAAATGGAAAAATGTATGTCAAGTCAAAACAAAGCACAGTTTCTAGATCTCTGCAGGGGTGTGGGGGGTGTCTCATAAATCTGTGTATGATTAAAGGCAGCTGCAGATTGACATGGACATTCTGAGCCTGTCAGTCCTCTGTGTGATGTATAGCTATTGCATCAAGCCAGCAGCAGCAAGCTGAAGACAATGAACCTCCCACATTTCCTAGTTGTATTGCCAAGGATCTGGAAATTGATGCCTAATCGACCTTGGGTTGGTAAGGGTGTAAGGGCCCTAACCCCTAGTAGTTCTAGGCCTGGTCATTTATTCTGAGATCTTTCAGTCTCTTGTTTCACTAGCAGGAAAATATGGCGAAGTACAACAAATTCCTTTCTGGTAACCTGAGAATATTACTTAATGGAAGAAACAAGAAGTGCTCTGCAACTATATTAAATTTTCAGGGTGTTTTTCACTCCTGCCCCCAACTGGCTGATGTTAACATTTTTTTTTTCCTAATGGCCTTGAGATTACAGCAAACGGCTTGCAGGGGGAAAAAACAACCAAACTCCCCAGGCGGCTTGGACCACATCCTCAGTTGGTAAAAACCAACACAGCTCTCCTTTTTTATACCAGCTGAGAAGCCTGGGTACTGCTGCTTTTATTTCCAGCTTTGCAATAAAAGAAAGATACTGAGATGAGTTTTGCTCCAAGTGACATCATAAGTCAGCAGGGAGCAAGGAATGCATTGGCAGACTTGCAGAGGGTGCTGAGCGCGGGGTCCAGCTGGCACTAGCAGCCAAGCGTCAGGGTCCAGGAGATGAATCCAAGGGCATGGCCTTGCATTTTATCTCCTGTTTTTATGAACACCAAATGGTCTGTGCTTTTCAAAATGGAAGGAGGAAAAGTGAAGAAAATGTGTGTCTATAGCATGTTTCATTATAAAACTTTTGCTCCATCCTTGGAGGTGTTCAAGGGCTGGTTGAATGGGCAGCCTGATCTAGAGCTAGCAACTGGCCCTCAGTAGGGGTGCTGGAAATGGACAGTCTTTAAGATCCCATGCAGTCAAAGCTATTTTATGATATGATATAAAACTTGAGTGATTTGAGAAGTGTCTCTGCCTGTGAAGTCCTGCCCATGCAGATATTTCTAGGCAAGCACTGATGCTAGAGACGAGTAACAGGTATGTGAGGAAAGGAGAAATATGTAGCTGATGGAAATTATCATGTTATACCAATGGTCAGCACCACTCTTGCAGTCAAATCTTAAAGCTTTGGCTTGGACACAAGCAGTTGAGATGTTTTTAGTTCCCTGTGGACAAAAGAGCAGCTGAAAATTGGGGTAAAACAAAGCATCTCGCACGAGCAGTGATTACATGGCTGAAAGCTGGCTCAGGTCATCATCCCTCAGCCCTCTTGGAGAAATTTTCCAGCTGGAAAGATCTGAGCAGGTCTCAGCAATTCAGAGCCTCCCCCACAGCACAAACAGGAGAGAAGATCTAGCTTAATTCCACCTTTAAATCTCCATGCTTTTGGTAAAATCACAGCACTAGCACAGCCTTATCTATACTCTCTGCAGGATAATTTCATGTCAAGAGGTATCTAGGGCCAAAGCCAATAGTTCCTTAATCAGCAGTGTTGAATTTGAAGGATGGATCAACGCTTGTCGCTTTCTCTCCTCAATTTTAGGGAGGCAGTGAGGCTTATGTAGGTATTGCAATGCTTTAAAAGAGTATGGAAAAACCACAGAGTTAAGCCAGTTAGTAAGATTTCCTTCACAGCTTATGAGGAAACAAGCATCTGCACGTGGTTCAGGCAGGGCAAGGAGTCTGAGAGGGAAATTCTGTGTGAACTGGTCAGCAGGAGAACCTGCGGTGGTGTTGTAGGAGGCATCTCTCCCTGACTTGTTAAATATGTCTGGGTTTCAGAGAGACGTTTTGCTCTGTTGGTGTTCTCAGTTCACTCCTTTGGTTGTGCTGGTTATGGTTAATGCTATCTGGAAGGAGAAGGTGGCCCCAAATCTGAAGGATGAGTTTTGATGTCCAGCAAACTTTGCTGGTGGGTACTAGGGATCCAAGGCACTTAAAGGATACTGAGTGCAAAGAGCTTATGAATAGGAGCCTGGGGATCAAATTTTGTTTTAAATGCAATGTGCAAATCTCTCAAAGTTTATGGTAAGGACTTGTTTGATCAGAAAAAGGGGTATTTGGAGGCCAAGGGCTTAGACAGTGGTCTCAACAGACATACTGATGTCAATGTGAGATAAATTAAATGGCCCCAGTAAAGTCAGGAGGACTCCAGTGTACTCCAGAACAACTTCTGGAAAAGCTGACTCTAGGTTTTAGTATTTGCTAACTGAAAGACCTCACAGTTCACATGTTTGTGGGGGTGAAAATTACTGTGTAGAAACTGGAAGCCATCTTTTCAATGGTGAGTTTTTCAGAGACAAAGCCGAGGTGAAGAGCCTGAAGTTCACAATCACCTTGTTTAAAATGAGTAATTGTTTTTTGGGCAATCTCCCTACGTTTTGACAAAACTGCAGTGCATATCTGAAGAGGTTGTAGTATGAGAACTTGTGCCTGGCCCTGGTTACCTGACTTGGCGGCAACTTGCTTCAGAACATCGCAAGTGAGATTAGTGAGGAAGAAGGTGTTGAGAAAGGGAGCTAGGGAAGATGGGGATTGATAGCTTTTTAGCTTGGACATCCTCATAGCACTTACCAACATTCCCTGCTTTTAATTTATCCCTACATTATTCACCTGGAAAGAAAGTTCTTAGGTTTATGCATTTCATTGGAACATGCTTTCTCCAAGAGTTGTTAGCTATATTAATGTGGGAATGGTTACCACTTGGCATCCATTTTAATTCAAGCACATTGGTTTAATTCATCCTTGTTGTAGCCTTCCCAGATCATGGGGTTTCCAGTACGGATGCATTTGGCCCAGAGTGCTCTACCCTTTTTGGCTCCAGTACAATATAAGACTGTTAGTTTCATATCCCCTGAAGGATAATATTCTTCCTTGGGCACAAAGCCCATTCAGGTCTTCTTGCACCCCTAAAATAGGCTATAAAGGTTAATTGTGAACCCTGCCCAGGGCCTTTCCTGATCCTGTCAGTACCTTTTTGGGCAGTCCTTTGAAATGCTTTATTTAGCGATGGGATCGGTGCACCCTACTCAGACGTGAAAGGTTCAAGACTTGAGTCCTGCTGCACAGCTACCCTTCCTTAATTTTGGAAAAAGAATTTAGCAAAAAGGATAAAATCCTGCCAGCCCCCTTCAACACATTGCTTATAACAAAAGTGTGCATTTAGCCACTGTAGATTAAACACCTGGAAAATGTCCTGCATGACTAGATCTCCAGCTTGCCCAGCGTTTGGCTACAGTTGGGAAACCTCCAAAGTAAACTCCTCACTTTCCCTTTGCAGCTGCCATAGGCTCCTTGTTCCAAGCTGCACAAAGCTCAGGTACTGCTTGCTGTGTAGCTGCTGACGGTGCCCTTTATGGATGGAGGTTTTGGATAAAATGATGTGGATCCCTCGCTGCAGCTGCATGTGAGTCTGAACATCACCATGTAGGTCTTGCTTTAGCACAGTGCTATGGATGACTGTAGCCAAGGAGGAGAAGGGGAGCAGGATATAGGGTCAGGAATGTGTGCAGAGTCTGAAATGACCCTAAGCACGAAACACCACAAAAACTGCCCTCAGCCATGTAAGTCTGAAGTGACTTTGAAGCTTTGCTGTCATGTTTTGCTGCTGTTTGGTGATATGTCTTTATCAGGAACAGACACTGAACCTATCATGACTGGGTCTATGGGCTGGGATGTAGGAAGCATATGTGATGTTTTTGGGCATAGCATTCTTACAGTCTTGAGTTAAACACTCATTTCTCATTTGCAGAAAGGAATTGTGAATTGTCTTGCTCTGGTTGACTCGTAAGTGCTCTGTAAAAGCCATGGTTTTGAAAATGCTAAGCAACTTTGGCCAGTGCTCTTAGGTGCTACTGTAATACAAGGTAGGAAGAGCAGCAGTACTTAATGGGAGTCTCCTTCAGGACAGAAGGGAGAGCCTTTCTTAGCAGAAAACTGCTGTAAGTCTGTACTGACTACAGAACTAGACAGGTTCAAAGTAAACATAACTTTTGTTGTCTTTACTAAGGGCAAAAAGTTCTGATAAATATTAAGTCTAAATGACTTAAGATTCAGGAGAAAATCAGTCTCCTGGATGGGAGCAACCAGTGCAGCTTTCTCCATAAGAGGTGGGCCATAAGCCCTCATAGGCAACACAATTACTCAAAGAATAAAACTGTGCTAAGCCAGTGCTGATGATAATTTCAAGGGATAAGTATAGTTATTCTGGCTCACAAATAAAAAACAAAAGTAGTTGAAAGTTAGACAGAGCAAATGGATGACTTTGAATCCTCCCTCTATTGTTAAACTATACAAATCTATTGCTTTTCTAATAAATAATCCAAGCACAGAGCATTTTCCTGCCAATATTTTCTGTGGTGGAAGCCAAGCCAGAAGGTTCTGAAACCACCATATTGGCATGGGTGTTTTTTTTCTCCTTCTCCTAATATACCATGGAATCTAGTTAAATATTTTTCCACTCCTTGCTTCTCTCTGCGTCTTCTGGAGAAAATGTGAGTCCTATTTCCTCATAAAAATATCTTAGCATTTGACAGGTTGGGTGTCTTTGATCTTGAAATGTTTTTGGATGATTTTTCTCCCCCACTTTGACTTTGTAATATAACGCTCCATAAAAAGTATATGCATATATGCAACTTTAAAAGGGGATCCTTATTTGAAATTAAACTTTTACACCAATTAACCTCCTCCCAGCGTGCTATAAAGTGCAGTAAAAACAGTGCTCTTACAGAGACCCTTGCAACTCTCAGACCGATGCCTCACTGGCTGTGGAACCCAAAACATCTGCTTTAAATTAGCTCTGATGGAAGGTCTACTTGTAAATGCATGACTTAATCAGCCTTACTAAAGTAAATGGCACATACTGTAGCAGAGGGTGCTTCAGAGTCAGACTCAAACCTGTCTTTCTTTTGAAGCAGAGAAGGGGAAGAAAGGGGGGCACAGAGGGGGCAAACTTAAAACCAAAGGCGATTTCTTCTTTTTTTTCTTTTATGAGCTGACATTACCAGACGTGTGGCTGTACCATAGCCAGTCTAACTCCCAAGCAACATGTGCAGCTGTATGGGGGTAAGGCTCCCTTGCTCCTCCCTATGCTCAGACCTTATTTTTGGGCTCTGCATTCATATAGGTGTGCTAGATAGTCCTCTAGTTTGCCTGCAGGCTCTCTGCAAGCCTCCCTGAGAGCCCAGCTTTTCCTGAGAAGAGCATAACAGCAGCTCAGCTGGTTGATTTTGCTTGAGGATGAGTCTCTATGCAGTGTTCAGGCTTTGATAACCTTTCCTGAGAGAAAGAAGCGACAGGTTTACTGTTGGGTTATAATGGTGAGGCTTGTGAAGGGTGCTCCATTGCAGAAGGTCTTCATGAGGCTGAGCGAGTCGACAATAAAATGACAGATTAAATTCAGTACAAATATAAAATAATGTATTGGAAGGCGGGAAACAATCCTACTTTCATCGTAACTCAATGGGCTCTGAGCTGACTTAACACTAAGAAGTGAATGCTGAATGAAAATATCAGTTCAAGGTTTGGAAACCATTGGGGTAAAAATAAAAGAAATTTGAATGTTAAGAATGATTAGGAGAGGAATAGAAAGTAAAACAGTAATGCCTTCTGCACTCTGTGGCCATGGCTCATCCACATCTCAACGTGTTATTCTGTCCCTTCATCTAAAAAGGGGTACAGTAACCTGGGAAATTCTCAAATTAGAGGAAAAGGGTTGCAATTACTTTCAAGAGAGGAATTACTGAATCTGGAGAAGAGACAGCGTGGGGAGCTTAGAGAGTAAGATAGAGGTCTGCAACACCATTAATGGATGGAGAGGTTGAGCTCATGGTCAACAGCTCACGGTCTTCAAGACAAGCACTAAAGGCCATTACATGGAGCCAGTAAGAGCCAGGTTAAAAAAAAGAAAAAGGATTCTTCACACAGTGATGTGCTTTCAAGGGGAGAATGTGTATGAACTTAGAAGGGATTAGTAGATCTGGAAACCAGGAGATGGAACTAGGGAAAATGCTGACAACTAGATAAGATCTAGAAAGGAGCAGAATATCTAAGGAAAAACTTGAAATGAGAGAAGAGAGCAGAGAGACAAGATCTGAGCTGGACAGGAGCTGCTTGCACTCACAAGGAGATTAATATACACGTGGAAGATGCAAGGATTCAAAGTGAAAAAGAGGCTCAAGGGTAACTGTAGGGGAGGATGTCCAGGTGTGGAAACTGCAAATGATCGGAGATAAGAAGAAAAGATAGTTTGTTCTTCAGAGGCTTCTTGCATGTGTTGCATAGGGAGATTTTATGAGCACACAAAAAAAGTCACCTTCCAGTACTTGCCAGCTCCCTAAGCTGAGAAGCACAACAACTATTCATCAAAAGGGCACTAGAATTGTTTTAACACAGACTGTTTTTCCCAATCCTGCATTTTTTGAAAGAGACTGTTTTGAATAAATATATTTTTTTAAAAAAACAAACAACAAAACAAAACATCCACAACACTAACATTCAATCTGAGACTTCTAGAATATGTAGAAAAACTCAACACACTTAATTGTATTTTTGAATATGATGAGCAGTTGTAATAAGAGGCTGTTCAATTGGTCCCAGGTAATACAATTAACATCAACATCATTCTGTCTTTTTCTGTATTTTAGAAATGCCTGTGCTTAGTAAAAGAGAAGTTCTAAAACCGTAACTGGATAAACTACAAACATTGGAAAAGAAAGGTGGAAAATGGGGATCCTATGATACCAACAGTTCTGTGTTTTGCTTTACATGGGAATCTTTATTGTCTGTAGCATGCTTCGTGAATGTATGTTATGATGAATGAGATTGGGTCCTTGTGGATTCAATGAAACTTTAACATATCCTTAAGTGCTCCCTTAACTCAATTTTCCAACCCAGAAATGATACATTAATACAGTTTTCAATGTTAATTTAACATTACCATTGATATCCACATGTTATTGAAGTGGATAGATAAAGACTTAGTGACTGAGACAATTTAGGGTCAGGGTGGACCAACAGTTTGTCTAGTCTTGTTTGGTAAAGAGTAATCCACTTATGAAGGGTAGCTCTCTTTTGAGACCAATAATTTGTGTCTGGCACAAGACTAAACTGGGTTTGGCTGAAATCTCTTTTCCAGAAAGCCATCTTGTCCTAATTTGAGCACACAGAGAGGCAGAAAGTCTGTCGTTTTCCTTTGTGATAAGTCCCTTCAGCTAACTATGATGTCTGTTCAATATGGTTGGACTTCATGGTCTTAGAGGTTTCTTCCAAACTTTGTCTCTATGATTCTATGAATATTTTCTTCCAAGAGTTAAAAATCTGTCTTCTACCAATCGGTTTTGTGGTGCAAAGCCTTTATTACTTGGCATTTTATGGAGAGACAAATGTATTCCCATTAAGTCACTTCTTGGTCTTCTGTTTGTTTTTGGTGAACCAGATGTACCAAGCTGTTTAAGAGTCTATTTATTTTCTCCAACCCTTGATCAGCATTTTTTATGCTAAAACAAAATCCTGAAGTGACCATGCCCATTCATGTGACTTTCTGTATTTTAGACTGCATGTCCCACCCCATGTGTGACAGCCCTGCACCCTTGTTCAGTAATCCTCTTGATAGGGTATGTTAATAAAAGGCTTAGATTTTTTTTTCTGAAAGGAAAGCAATGCAAACATAGCTAGTGCATGTTGGCAAGCAGCTTTGTCTCCCATTTCCTCTGCTGAGATGCTTAGGACTCTTTTCTGAGCCGCTCTATGCTTTATCAGACAGAAACATGGTTTCTCAGGAAAGCCTTCTTTCCTTCTGCAAGTTCCATTCAAAACAGAATGAAACCAGAGTTAAATGGGAGCTTACGAATGCCACTGTATCCTGGGGGTCTGCTCCTTGCTATCAATCCATCATTTCTTTGCAGTTCATTTTCAGATGCGTTTATTAGGAGCTATTCTCTGGTTACACCCTTCGTTATGCCATAAATCAGTTGCTTCTGGCCTGCTTGGACACTGCCCAGTGCTTCCAGTGCCATTCGTGCCAGCCCTCACGAAATACAGCAGGCTGAGCCATACCTCAGCAAAAGGTCTCTAATTGCACAATTTTGTCTTTTTTTAATTACATTTTCCATGAGAGAGCCAAGCCAGGGGTGACCACTTACATTTTTGAGGCTATATACATTGTAAATAATGCCCTGTTGCTGTTTTCTTCTCGTTCTCCTCTGTGTTGTTTCTGTTTTATTCATTATATGTGAATCTAAAACAGTCTTTATTCAGCGCTGGTCTTTTTAGCGTTAGAAAGTGGGAGGCATCGATTGCTTGTTGCTCATGTGAAGTTGTTTAAATAGTACTTTAAAAGACATTAAGCAGCGTTTCACATCAAAAACCACTCAGACACATGTATGTGGAAAGATACTGACTAGACTCATATTTCCTGTATTAAAATACTTGTATGAAAATGTGTACTTTTCTGATTTATCAAGCAAGAAAATGACTCTCTGGAGACTTTCTGGTTCAGACACGAATACCTAAACAAAATCTTAGTGAATCATTTGGAACTGCTAGAATTTTCCATATGAAGACCATTATAAGTGTATTGATACTATGGCGTGTGCATATTCAGTATATGACTGAAACCTGTATCGCTGTTCTGTCAGCTCTTGAGATATACAAGTATAAATGCATACAGGAAAGCCAAGAAGATGTGCAGAGAATATCAGACCCTGACTCACATTTGGTTTCCTACATGCCGACAAAATATTTAGCTGAACTTATCTCCTCAGCTCGGAGCCATAAATTTCAGCTGGAGTAGGAGGAACTCCTTTTCACGTAATTGTTTTGCACATTTAGAGACAAGAAAACACCAGAGTAAGACCCACTGAGCAGATCTTAGCAGATAATTTGACCCATCTGTACGATTTAGTAGTAGGTTGGAAGATGCCACAATATTTTAAGCAATTTAAAAGTCATGTGTCTAATTCAGCCCTTAGATACAGATGCATAAAAAAGCCAACCAGATGTTTTAAGAAGACAGGGAGTTGTGGCAGATGTGGGAAAATCACTGAGAAGAGATAGGGCAGCACACAGATTTTGGCAGAGAACAGGCATTCAAGTCCTGATATGAAACTCAATGAGGCTGATGTAAAGATTCCTATTGTTCTCAAAGGCTTTTGGTAGTATATCCTAAAAAACATTAAAGGCAGTGAGGTGCAGAGATGACAGCCACAGTGCCTGATGCAGGTTACCAGCGCTTTGACTTAGGCCTTAAAGGACAAACATATGGACAGTAAATGTGTATGTGAGTATGCACGTGTGCATGTGTTCAGTCTGGGCTTTATGGAATTACTCTGGCTTTTCCAGTTCAGATGGAGTTCACTTCCGTCAATCACCTTGCTGTGCCTTCCAACAAACTGCCATTGCCTGACTGTTCATCTCTCTATGCTTGGAATGAAGCCTATGAGGAGCGTGCTTAGACCCGTAAGTGGTAGGAAGCTCAGAGAAAGCATGATGGGCTAGATATGCTGCTGGGCCTGCAGTGAGGAGCTGCAGCTTGTTTGGCTTCTCAGATGTAGAACCTCATAAACTGTAAGAAATAGAATTATGAGAACAAATAAATCATAGAATGGCTTGGGTTGGAAGGGACCTCGAAGATCACCAAACTCCAATCCCCCTGCTGCATGCAGGGCCACCAACCTCCATATCTAAAACTAGACAAGGCCATCCAACCTGGCCTTGAACACCAATGACAACAAACCAAAAAGCCCCAGTATAGGGTATCAAAATGTTTGTGAGAAAGGGAGGAGCTGGGTTTCTCTTTCAACCACAGGTAAACCAAGGTGTAGACCGTGACAACAGGGAAGAGAAGAAGCTAAAGCTTTGTTTGCTAGTATTGTCGAAGTCTGGAAGTTAAAGAAGCCTTCAAGATAGTTAGATGTAGAAAAGGAATATTGATTAGGCACGAAAGAAAGAAATGACTGCCTGGTGGGCTGAGGGCTTGGCTTGTATAGGGATCTCACCACATTAGCTCTGCTTAGAAATACCTTTTGCAAGAAAATTGAAATGCTTTTGTAGTAGGAGAAGAGCCTGCAAGGAGAATCCACGTGGGTATGGCCATATTCAGACCTTCTGGTACGCACCACCAATGAATGTGGCCTCTGGTCAGCAGAATGAATGCCTGGATGCTCTGGAGGTGGCTTGGGTGAGGAGTTCCCCAGAAGGTCCAGATGAGTCCAGCATCAACCTTGCAGTAAAACTAAGTGGGAGGAAAATCTCCTTGTCTATGTGGTTTAAGTTTTCATACTGTTAAAATTTTTCTGTATTCCAAGTGTTTGAACACTGGTTGATTTTGGACACTTTTATTACATCTCTCTTTTAAAACTAATTTATTTTAGGATGCTAAACCAGACAGCACAGGAAATAGCTTCTAAGCAGCCAGAGATGCAAAAAGAGATGCAGTGGTAGTGCTACCTTCATGGCAGGACTCGATGCAGAAGGGATTTCTGAATATCCCCATGCGTTGGGACATGCAGATGGATGTGCAGATGGGATGTACGAAGTCACAGCTGCCATCTTGTCTGCCCCTGTGTCTGGTGATGCTTTGTGGCACGTCCTCCATGAGGAGGGCCCACCTGTGCTGACAGGAGAGGATAAGAACAGCTCCCCTGGTTGGTTGCCCAGCCTATAGGATTGCTTTTGGTGGGTTGAATACACACAATCCCAGGTGGTGACAGGGAGATCATGGTTCCCAAGTGGGACAGTGCTATGAGTTGTGACTGCTGTGGCGTGGGAAAAGCTGATAGGGACTGGGGTGCATGGATGCAGTGGGTGTAGGGATGTGAAGCAGTGTATGGGAGGGTTCGGCTATTGGGATTTCATTCAGGCAGACAGATTTAGCTCTCCTAATAAAGATATCAGTGTCTTACTTTACGTTCAAATTGTCTTTCAACAGACACAGCTGAATTGAAGATAACCAATACCCGATTCAGATGGGATCATTGTTTCTCTTCCCTCAGGTTGTCGAGAGACCGGGGCAGGGAGGTCCTCCCTCACAGCATCAGAGCAGTTGGTGACAGTCATCAGAAATATGCAGTCCCCTTCTGAGCGTCTCATGGTGGAACTCCTCTCTCAGGCTTGTTTGGTGAGTGCCCATCCCATCACAACAGGCCTAAACGTTCCAGTGGTCCTCTGGCAGCTTTCTGTTTCTCACACTTCTGCAGCTCTCGGTACGAGTGTCCGCATCCAGTGAGCTAGGAAAATAGCACCAGGAGTTATGTACGTTTTCTTAGTCAGTAATGAAAAATATTCCCTTATGGACCCTCAGATTTCTGGAGCTGCATTAAGGCAAGGTTGATCGGCCACTGCTGGAACAGCAGTTAACCACAGGATTTCACTCAGGCTATTTGTAATGGGGAAGCATTGTAGGCTAACATCATATTAAGTGGCATCATGCAGAAGAGTGTCTTTAACTAATTGTTAGTGATAGAACGCGAACAGCCAAGATAAAAAGTCCTGTGGTTCTCTGTCAGGCATGACTAGCTCCAGATATCCTCCTTCAGTAACTTCCAGGTTTGTAGACCTCATTACTGTGTTTGTTGTTCCATATTTGCCTTCCCTTACATATCTCACCACTTCTTCCTTTTACTTGTTAAAATGTATGCTATGATGGCCCAGGATGAAATATGTAGACCGTATTTGCATGGGGGATAAGCTATAGAAACTACTCCACAGTTTCCCCTCTCAGTAAGTGGGCTTTGTGACATGAGCATAAATCTTTGAAGTATGTGTTGAGCCAGCTGCTACATCATTTAAAAATAGTTAGGTTGGTGCCAACAAGACAGATCACTCAACTTGGGGGCCATAAACAGAAATCAAAGGCATGCATTAGCAATGCCCCAGTGTTTGCATGGTTCCACGAGGAACCCTCTGCCCTTTCTAGCACGTATGTGATGGTGTTACAGAATTTTCTGCTGTCACTTCTGTAATGTATCGATGCCATCCATGCTTAGTGCAGTGTTTTGGAGGCTGTATGAAGGCAGAAGACATTTTCTAACTTTGCATGTTAGAGCCGCAGTTAGGTTTTTTTGGCTTCACAATAAAAGAGATGTTTTAAGAGTACTTGTTCTTATATCCCCAGCAGCTTGGGTGATGTGGCATTTGGGTATTAAATACTTGAAAGGGTCAAAGCTTATGAAGTGGTCAAAGGGAAAAGGAACGAGGTCAAAAGTTTAAGTCATGATACACAGTAGGCAAGGAGAACTCATATTTTAAGAGTCTAGACAGCATATTAGCAGAGAAAGCTTACTGTGTTGTACTGTTTATGAGAGTTTTCCATAAACTGCAAAAAATATTAGGAATGCAGCATAACCAAAGCTTTGCCTTTTCCTGCCGAGAATAAATTGTTGTGCAGTTTATGTTCAAAGAGAACGACACCTATATAGACTTAATTTGAGTGGAAGGGTCGCAGGGCTTTGGGGGAAAAGATGCAAATAAAAAAAAAAAACCAAAAAACAAACAACAAAAACAAACAAAAAACGTAAAACACGGTTATTTAAGATGATTTTTCCTCCTTCAAAAAAAAAAAGTGATTTATGTATCTCTCTGGAGGAAAGTGTAATACAGCCATTCGTGCTTTATAGCAGATTTAGGAGGCGACTGCAGCACTTAGGCACCTGTGTTTTTTATGTTCATATGTATATATTTTTGTGTTTGCAGAATGAAAAATATAGTCTTGATTCATTTACTTTGCTCAGCTTGTTTCAGGTTGTTGTTTTTTTTTTCTCACTGAATAAAAAGAAAAGTATGTGGCATTTTCAGTCCATAAATCTTACTTGCTGTGGGCCAACTTCTGCTCACAGCTCTTATTTAGAGTAAGTTAATGAGGCCAATACATACCCCAGGGCAGATCTTGGACCTCTGAGGCTACCTAGGTAAAGCTGCCTAAGTGGAAGGATGCTTGAAGCACTGCCTTGGGATTTGATATACTTGAGTTCAGTTCTGCTCAGCTCAATGATGTGTCCAGGGGAAGCTGCTTCCCCTTTTTTAGGCTCCATGGCTGTGCTCCATGATAGGTTTGAATTGCAAATCTTTCTTTGCTAAGGTCACATCCTCATCTTTTCCTTTGCACTGCTGCGGAAATGGAAACTGTGGATGTTGCAACAGAATCATTATGGTTGGAGAAGACCACTAAGATTATCTAGACCAACCATCCCTCCATCACTACCACGTCCTTCATGTTAGATGATTCTGGTCTGACGTGAATGCTAATTCTTCTGGGACAGGGACAGCTTTCTTTTGGTTTGATTCCTTTCTGCAAGCAAGTAAAATTGTCTAAAATGGTCTATTAATAGCAGTGCCATTAACAAATCTCATTATTGATGTACCATGCTTTTAAAATTTATTGTCTCTATTCAGGTAATCCTCACCAAAACCCACTTGGGAAACACTGCCCTTGCCCTTCAAGTTTATCTATAGACTCTTAAGTAAGAACAGGGTGCTGAAATTCTGTGAAGTAGGTGTCCACATGGGCACATATCTGAAATATGACTGCCGTTCTATGCAGAACCCCTCAGCTGTCCCAGTTCTGGCTTTCACTCAGACAGATTGACAGCCTAAATTATGAACATGTTCATCGTCTTCGTGAAGAAGATGCCCCAGACTGGACTCTTCCCTATAGAACACCATCTGTTATCCTTTTCAAGGAAACACAGTATTCTCAGGGGATTGTTTCTGAACTCTAGTTCAGGAGTTTAAAATATGGCAGTGGGGTGTTGAGAAGCTCCCTTTGGGAGCTGTGCTGGGCCAGCACAGAGGAGTTGTGAAAAGCCCACCATAAGTATTTTGAGTCATGCTTCTACTTACCTGCAGGTGTTTCATGGATTACTGAGCAATTTGCTTAATCTTGTGTGTATGTTGGCCTTATAAGGTTATCAAGTTCAGTTCGATTGTGGCTGGATTTGTATTTTGTAAAGTTGAGACTGTGAGAGCATGAGAATAAGGATATAAATCAAGTGGAACTGAGAAAAAGCAAAAGGTGTGAAGAAATGAAGATGTGGCAACTACATGAAAGAGTAGAAAGCGAATAGAGAAAAACAATTAATATAAACAAATATCAGCTATATCAGGTATTTAACAGTCCAGCCAGATCCAGCCTCATGAGATGCATATTATCTTATACAGGTGTTTTGATGCTGTGGAAGTGTTCTAAATCTGAATGAGATATTCTTACTGCTTGTGTGTGTGTGAGAGATCTTGGAGCTTCATTGAACAGGGGCTAAGAGGAGGCAAAGCAAGCAGCAGTCCTCTGCCAGGGAGGTAGCTGGGATTTGAATCCCAGATAGGGTTGTAGTTTACAGTGGCCCTTGTAACAAAGTCAAGACACCTCAGACCTTGTTAATGGTTTATCTACCTCAGAAAGAAAAGGGAACTTCTCAAGAAGGCAAGGATGGCTCAACTTCTAGTAAGGTAAACTGAGGAAATTCACATAGAGCAGGAACCTTACTGAGAAGATGAGACAGGATTTTCAGCAATGTGCAGTGATGAGTCGTTGCAACTTCTATTAATGTAACTGGCACGTATGTAAATAAATTGACATGTGCTCCTCTGAAAAGTTAGCTCATGAGATCAGGCAGCAATAATAAACCAAGAAGAAATGTAATTTCGTAAGAATAGTGAGCCATGGCATTATTTTCCAGGCAAAAATGAACAACCTGGTCATTTCCAATGGAAGATATTACTGTGATTCTTAGAAATTGTGTGTTAGCTCTACATATGTATATTTTATGCACTTCAGAAAACATGTTCATTTGCATGTGGATCCATAGAAAGGTTTGCCAAAGAAATCTGTGCATTCTCTCACATTTTGAGGACAAAGTGGTATTTAGATGTAGGTTTGGAGCTGGGGGTGTAAATCAGCACAGCTTCCTGGAGGTCAGTGGAGCTTCACTGTATAACAGCGATTGAGGATCTGGCCACGTATATATAACAGGAGCTGGGTGAAATCCTTTCATGTTTCAGGTGGTGTTATACATTAGCACCATAATGCAGGGCTGCCTTTCTCCCTCCCCTCATAAAACCCTGAAACCTGTTGCCTGTTCTGCCCTCCGCCACCCATTCAGAGTTCAGACACCCCTGAGTCCAACAACGTACAAGAGGAAACTTGTGTTTGGTGAACAAAAGCTGCTGCTGCTCTTAGGGGGGGGACTTCCCAGATTTATGGGTTATCCTAATAAAACCCAGGAATGTTTTAAAGGCAGTAGCGCGAGAGACCACCAACTATTTTGTTGTTGAAGCCTAAAAGAAAAATCTATTATACCTAAGACTGACCCTGTAGCTGTTTCTTTTTGCAGGCTTCTTAGAAAAGTAGAAGGGCTGAGTTTTTACAAGGGTGCTAATGGATAATTTGAAATTACACTGAATTTGGATGTTTATACACAAGTATATAACAAACAGATAAGAAAATAATCTGACTTTGGCCACTTCACATCTCCTTTCTGACGGAGAATGCAGAAGCATAGAATCATGGAATGGATTCAGCTGAAAGGGACATAAAATGTTATCTAGTTCCACTCTCCTCCTCCCCACGGCAGTAAACAAAGAAGGACCAAATCTTGATGGCGTAGTATGACCACGTTTTACTTTTCTAGATATTTCTCAGTAGTTCCTGGTTTCACTGGTGCTATGAAAACAAAAACGCGTGCATAAGATATGCCAAACATGCATACATCTTCACAGCATTCCCATGAAACAGATCACGTTTAAAAAGCAAACAGGATTTTATAGGTAGAAAACTGAATCACCAAGACTAGACACCTCGCAGTAGTTCAGAGCAAAGTTTCTCTTTGGAGTAACTGTGCTTCCATGCCCAAAGCTGTGTGAGAAGATAGGAGGCAGTTGAGTTCTCTCGAGAGCCCAACCAATTCCGTGCACACAAGCTGTCGTTTGTTTTAACGCTTGTTCCATGCAAGGTAACAAAGCAGATGATGTCCACGCTTAATGGAAGTGGCCAGTGGCTGTTGACCTGGGCTTTAAATTTATGGAAAAAAAATGATAACAGGTTTGGTAATGGTACCCTAAATTAGGTTCAGTGATCCAAATCTTCCAAGTTCCTAGATGGTCACATCATTGTGCAGCATCGCCTTC